GCAACATTGGCAGCTTTTATGAGTCAAACACATACTTTAAACCCTCTTCTCGTTACTTACAAGAACAGCATATCATTATATCATCTAATGATTGCATAATTCCGAAATATATGTTTTTATAGCAAGTGAGTGGAAGCAACCCTGCATATTATATTTATTTTGCTGTACACACTTTAAAATGATGAGCAGTGGTAGAAAGGGCACTAATCAGTGATGCATTACCTCGTTTAAAAACTTGTTTCCACCAAAAGAATAAGCACACTAAACAAACAAAACAAATCCCTAGAAAAAAGTCTTAGCTTCTGTGAATTTTTCCTACGGATCCTTATTTCTGCAGAATTCAATCAATTCTATAGATCTACGGAAAATTTAGTAGAACCGACATCACTGACTTCCATCTGTTTGTTTTTATTCAACACAGCTGACGCGTTGACAGAACAAGGGATAAGCAACTGGTGAAAAAATGGCATGAACGAGAAATGCTCTAGTTGCACATCAATGCTTGGGAACAGGGTTACTTGCACTCATTTGCTATAAAAAATGTTTTTCCGAATTATGTAATCATTAGATGTTATAATTATATGTTGTACATGTAAGTTACAAGAAGTGGTCATGCAGTATATGTTTGACACATAAAATCTGTCAATATTGCTTTCAGTGCGTCACAATCAGCGATTTTACGACTCATGAGCGCTCACTCTGAGTGAACGCTCACGAATCATAAGATCGCTGATTGTGACGCTCTGAAAGCGAAATTGACAGGATTTATAAATCAAACACATACTTTACAGCCTCTTCTTGTTACTTACATGTACAACATATCATTATAACATCTAATGATTGCATAATTCCGAAAAATATTTTTTTATAGCAAGTGAGTGGAAGCAACCCTGCTTGGGAATGTGGATGATAGATGGTGCTAGCAACAATCAATACGAAACTAACGATTTTAAATTGGCTCACCACTTTAGTAGCCTATTGGTCCCAAGCAAACGATTAACGTACCCTATTCTAGTTGAAATTCTATTACTACACTATGTTTGTTTTGATTCGCTATGAAAGTTTGACAGATAACATCAGGGGTGTGTGGATTCATGCAGAACATGCAGGAGTGAGTGAAATAGCTTGGGACTGCTTGGGACCGTTGTTCTGGTACTGAGTGAGCCAAAAATAATAATGATTTTCTTCGGGACCCAGTGGTCTTAGAGTTACCTCTATGGTGCTAGTGCGCATGCAAAATTTTCTTCTAATGTCTGTTTGTCTGTGACTTTTCACTAGGCTATACAAAGCCCAACCGTCGCTCTAGCTTTGTGATCAGCCTTTTTCCACTGGTCGGTTACTGGTTCTGGCTTCGGCTCAGCAATTACATGCCAAACCTCTTCGCGTGTGAGTAACATTTCTATGCGAAATTTCCATGTGCTCCAATTTCGATTGTTCAACTTCTCGAACGTGAGGCTCTTCAAATCCGCTCACTCGATTCGACCGCCGAATAACCTAGCCAAAAAGGATCGACAGAATAAAATTTCTCAAAAATTTCCTTCGCACTTTCCGAAAACGCATACTGGGCCCATAACCTGTGGGAGAGTAAAAAAACTGCACAAGAAAATCCGCGTAGATTTCAAGAGAAAGTAATCGAACACAACACATATACCACAAACGAAGTGACAGACGGAGCGGCTCGAAAACTTTGGTGACTAACCTGCTATTGCAATCTTTCAGTGTACCACATCCCTATAAACAAATACCTTAAACGAACTGTATCCCGGATGGGTAAACTATCCCACAAATGGTTTGGATGATACCCCGAACACGTCGTTAAGCTCTCTTTTATGGTTATTTTTATTAGGGATGGCAACACCACTACTACTAGATTGTACTACATGGCAACACTACTATATAATCCAAAATAAAACTATATATCAAGAGCAAATTTTCATTATGTCGTAAGTAACATTTGGTGCGAGAAAAATAAAGTTTTGTTTTGATGACCGAAAAGTTATTCCTATTTCCAAGTAAACACATATAATCTCATAATTATAGCAATGTTTAACATATTTAGCAGGGTTTTAATCATACAAATGCAAATCGCTAGCTTTCATGCTAAAAAATACTGGTTTTTGAGTCAAAAGTTATTATACGTCGTTTGGTGGTCCCTATTGTTACTTAATTCAAAGTGTATATTTACCAGGATATTCGGGAGAATTATCAATTACGTCTCCTTACGTGCAGCCCATTCATCATTTTAGGACTACCGAAATCATCTTAGCAACAAACAGTTCGATTTATTCACTTTAATAATGAGAAAGCGAAACGACGAACGTACACTTTTCACGGGTTTCTCCGCGCTGTTACTTAAGTCAAACGGCATCTCCATAGAAATTGGGTGACTTAAGTAACATCGAAAACTATTTTGATCGGAAGGTGATTACGTCAAAAAGCAATTTGACTGGCAAATAAATCTAAAAATGGGATTTGATCCTATATTCGGATAGTATATACACAGACAAACAGACATAACACTCGCAAGTTGTTCATCGAACAAGCATTTAATGGTCAATTTAAAAGTATCGTAGTTGGTAGTACCGCCACCTGTGGCACGCATAGTCAATTCCCTTGCGTTTGACGTTTACACACTACCGCCATCTGTTCAGCGTACTACCCACCACAGTGTACTCAACAGATGGCGGTAATGTTTTTGCGACGATGTTTCACAGTGACAAATATTCAATGTGTTATGTCTGTTTGTCTGTGGTATATACATAGTGTAATAGCAGGAGAATCGATTGACACTGATAGCTCGACTTTGTTTACCTTTGTTACATTCGACGTAATGAAAGTTTGCTCTTGATATAATCGATTAGATGTTAAACGAATAATTTAAAAAATCCGACTTCTCTGATTTTGTTGTGATTCTTTTGATAAAAAAAGAGCGCAAAATTTCATCTCTACCGAGGGGGCAGCAAAACCACAAAATTACCTTGCATACGGGGGGTATTCATTGGATGAAAGGGACCGTGAAAGCGAGGCGATTCATTTGTGTATTTTCAATTCAGGCCAACGTATTGATGAACGTATTGAAGTATTTTTTTTATCGAATAAACGTGTATTTTGCGTAATAATGTATTATTTTGCACTTTTTGAATATATGTTATTTTCTGTCTATTAGAAAAATAAAAGTGTATTTTTATGCATTAATGTATTGAAAATCAGTTATTGCGCGTTTCACACCAAATTGGACTAATAAGCGCGTTTTTACTTATTAAAAAGTGTGATAAAACTGCAAGTTTACGTCTAATCGTCTTGGTGTCTTCCGTGCACTTATTCCTTATGATGCAAGCAATAAGTGCTCCCAAGACATCAAAACGATTTGACGGAAACGTGCACTTTTATCACACTTTTTGCATTTTTGGGACGGTCCAGTTTCAGATGCAATCAGCAATATAAGTGTATTCTGTAATTTCAGTGTTTATGTTTACCACTCGAACCGAGAATCAAACGGATCAAACTCACAATGTTGACGTTTTGTTTGACAAATGCACAGCACACGCTAACTTTAAAACACCCACTGATGAGTAGAATTTCACCGAATTTAAAGTAAAGAGGCATTACTCATAAACTCATTAGGGGCTGTTCATTACCTACGTAGACAGATTTTTGGGATTCTTGAGCTACCGCCCCCCCCCTACTTAGACAATTTTCCATACAAAATTTTTAAAAATGTGTATGGGCCGTGGATAATTGCCAAATCGCCCCCCCGTTGTTCATGAACAGCCCCTTACCCCGCTCATTACACATTAATAAGCATCTGTTACCAAGGCTGTTACGCATTCGTTAATTATTTTTGGGTCACAACTACTCATTAATGTTTTTTTATTTAATAAACGATTTAAGGCACTTTTCTTGAAAATTGGTGAAATCCTACTCATTAATACACTGCTTTGTGATTCTAGCTCGGATTAAAATATAAAATAATAAATTTACGCGATTTGACCGAATTCAGCATTTTGATTGTACATATTTCGAATTTTTCGTGCAAATGACGAATTATCGTGTATTTTTTTTTATTCGTCGAATGTTTGTGTATTTTTTTCTCCGAATTTTGTATTTTTTGCATTTTTTTTTTGAGTAATGACGAATTATGATGAATTTTTATGTATTTTTTCATTGACGTATTTTCGATTCATTTTCGAGAGCAGTGAATTGCCCCTCGGATCCGGTTCAGGTTGTTGTACGACGAACCAATCTCTCCCAGATACAGTACACCTTCTTCTCGCATGGAAGCACCTTGTTTTAAATGATGTACAATTTTTCGATCACGTTGTCATCTTATTGATTTGCCAAGGCACTTTCCATCCGTATAGATCAACTCAGAACCGGAAGTAGCCCAACGACCGAGTGTTGTTTATGTTGATCTGGCGTTGAAATGACCAGAAGTTTTGACTACATATAGGAAGAACCTCAGAATACTCGATCACCGAACGGAATAGACCACAGTTCAAACATCAGCATCTAAAATAATGGTGTTACATTTAAATAATGATTTATAAACACTTACTGAAGTTCAGATAAAAATACTTTTTTGAGGCGGTTTATGTCGATTCATGACAAGAGTTAAACAGAGAAACGAATTGTTATGCATAATCATGAACCATGACATGTTATTCATACTCATGCATAAAAACAAAACCTGGAATGGATTACTTTTTAATCAAAGCTATGAATAAACAAAGCTAAATAAAATAAAGATTAAATTTTATTCTATTTTCGATTAGTAATATTTTTTGAGTGCAGATTTTTACGGAACATTTCAAAGTTTCATGTCGGTTTGTCGGTGGTCATATTCAGCTGCGTTTACCGTTCAGCGAGTTGACATATGAATTGGTGAAACATTTCGTTTGTTCAATTTTTGAGTGTACGTGTCAACATAAAATATTTTTGACTCCTGCGGTTGCTCGTTCTTTTTTGTTTCATTCGAGTTTCGTTTCTCTCATGCGTACCATCGGTAGCATGTGAATAAAATAATAAAATTTTGAGTTGCGATTTTCAAAAAAAAAAAACACTAATTCACCAAAATGACTGATTCCGATGAAAAAAAGTCCTTGAATTTCCATCATATGGAACTCGATGACAGAATACTGAAGGTAGGTAGAAGGAACGATGAAAAAATACTACGCATTCGATGTTCAACCTAACCTCAACAGATTGTTTACCTGTGCTGTTTTAGGGAATCGCAAAGCTGGGCTGGCTCTGTCCAACATTGATCCAGGAGAAAGCTATTCCGTTGCTATTGGAAGGGAAAGACGTTATGGTGCGTGCCCGTACGGGCTCAGGTAAAACGGCCGCATTCTCAATACCAATCATACAGAAAATCCTCAAACATAAACAAGATGCGAAGGAACAGCAGACGTCGGTGGTTATTTTGGCCCCTAGTAAAGATCTCTGTCATCAGATAGCAAAGGTCATTGAAGACCTTACGATTAAGTGCGGCCGTTTAGTGCGATGCGTAGATTTGTCAACCAAAGTCGATAAGGTGGCCTTGAAGCACATGCTTGCGGAACGTCCAGATATAGTGGTATCAACTCCGGCGAAACTGGTTGCTCAACTTCAGGAAGGAAATATTACCGTAAAAGATAGCTTACAGACTCTGGTGGTGGACGAAGCGGATCTGATGTTTTCTTTTGGGTTTGAAAACGATTTAAAAGCAGTACTGGATTTCTTTCCTAGCGTGCATCAATCAATCTTGGCCTCAGCAACGCTAGAAAAGGACGTACTTGAGCTGAAGAAAATTATCCTGCACAATCCGGTGATTTTGAAGCTTGAGGAACCTGAGATGGCTCCCGCATCGCAGCTTGCTCATTATCACATATTGGCTGAAGAGGTTGAAAAAGCGGCAGTTCTGTATACACTATTCAAGCTGCAGCTCGTCAAAGGAAAGAGCATAATCTTCGTCAACTCTATTGATCGATGTTACAGGTGAGTTCGCTAGAATTTATTACGACCATTAGATCCAATATCGAAGGATGAAAAATAACCAACAATCTTTGATACGGCATTGAATGTCCTTGGACATTCCTTGGCTGGAGCAGGATAACAGACTAATCTTCTCTCTGACGTTTGTTTGAATCCATTTGAAAGCTAAGCATTATATTGCCGTCATTCTAAAACACTATTTCTTATTTTTAGGCTGAAACTTTTCCTGGAGCAGTTCAGCATAAGGTCTTGCATATTGAATTCAGAGCTGCCAGCAAAAATAAGATGTCACACTGTGAATCAGTTCAATCAGGTTTGTGAACTTTCACTTTATCAAATATTTGAATCAGCCCAATTTGTTTTTTTTTTACCTCAGGGTCTTTACGACATTATCATCGCGTCGGATGAACTGCACGTGCTGGATCCATCGGTTAACGAGAAAAAGGGAGACAAGAAGAAAATGATGAAGCAAATAGCCAAACAAGTTGAGTCAGAGGCCGGCGTGTCTCGGGGAATCGACTTTCAGTTTGTGTCCAACGTGATCAACTTTGACTTCCCGAAGGATGTCAATGTTTATATACACAGGGCGGGAAGAACTGCTCGTGGTAATAACACCGGAAGCGTTTTGTCTTTGGTTTCTGTCGAAGAAAAGGAAATAATGGACGCCGTGGAGGATCATTTGAATCCAGGCCACCAGGAGGGTGATAAAGTTCTAAAGTACTGTTAGATTCCATCCGTTGAATGTAACAAATAGTTAACAATGTTTTCATTCTAGGAGCTACCAATTTAAAATGGACGAAGTTGAACCCTTCCGCTACAGAGCTAGAGATGCTTGGAGAGCTGTCACTAAATTTTCGATTCGTGAAGCCAGAATAAAGGAAATAAAAACGGAAATGTTCAACTCGGAGAAGCTTAAGGTAAATCGATTAACCTAGTGGTTTTCGTTTTTGAACCTACCTAATCGCATTGTAAAATTGTCTTGCAGAGCTTTTTTGAGGAAAACCCCCGCGATTTACAGGCCTTGCGACACGATCGCACACTTCATACGGTGAAAATACAGGAACATCTCGGCGATGTACCGGAATACATCGTTCCAGATTCGTTGAAGCACGTGACAGGCATCACAACCCGACGAAAGAAGAGTTTCGTACCGAAGAAGCGAAAATCAGACGACAAATCTAACAATCCTTTAATGGTCGAAGGGATCGATTATGGAAAACAACGGCGTGTTTGAAATAAAAAGCGTTTCTTATCACTCTAACTTATTTATGTTCATTTCATCCACTTCTAAACAAATCTACTGGCAATTCCGAGCAGTTTTGTATAGTCCGCTCCTTTTGCTTGCGTTTTCTCCTTTAGGATGGTTCTCAGAATTGTCGGAATAGGAACGTGAATCCTTGTTCCTAGAGGTGTACCATTGTCATCAATCAGCACTATGTTATTGCTGTCGAACTTAGGAATCTTGGGTTGTTGTTTCTGTCGGCATCCAACGAGGATGGCCTTTTTCTTCTGTCCTTTGATTGCCACCAGCACCTTATCTCCGACTTTGGCTACCATCTGTTTGTTGTATACATGAATGCACTTGGGAGGCTTTCCTTCAGCCATGGCCCGTTTACCGATTTCACTGTTGTCTACCACACGGAGCCGGGCCAGCTTCCGGATTTCGAAGCAAGCGGTGCTTGTTTGAATTTGGTTCTTTGTTACATAATTAACCACCGGTATACGGCCGATTTGCAGAATTTTCTTCAGGAACATCCTATAAAATATAATGTCTACTTAGCATTTTCATGAATGGTCACTACGGGCAGTATAGGTTACCTTGACACAGGATTTAATAAAACTTTTTGAATAAATCTATCACGTTTCGTTCAACAGAGTTTTGTTTTCGTTCTACATCAAGACATCCCGAAGAAAAAAGTTATGACGTCAATTGACAGCTTTTTACTACACGCTTATTCTGGTCAACTCAAAATTGAGTCGAATGTACTCATCTCAACGGCAAGTAACACACGATTAAATAAAAATTCATCCTGTACCATTAACAAAAAACCTGGGGGGGGGGGGGAGGAGACGTGCTGTCAAATCAGCCTACTGATCATACTTGAATGAAACTGGTTCCAAACGTAAACAAACCCTGTAGGTTTCTTATGGGTTGTTTATGTTTGCCACCAGTTATGCGAGGTAGGCGACGATTGTTCGTATTTGACAGCCACCTCCCCCCTTGCAAAACACACGCAGAAAAAAATATCGTCGAATCAGACATATTTGAGGTAAATTTAAACGTAAACTCAGTTTGTTCTGGCCACAAACATAAACTAAGTTGATTTCAAACATATTCCATGTTAGAAGTCATTGACGTCGCTGTAAAAGAAAAGCAAAAAAAAAAAATTACGTTTATTTTAAAAATATTTGTGTTGAAAATAAACGTGAATATTTTTGTTTGATTTGGCAACTATACACGCAGAAAATAATATTTTAAACGTAAAAACGCTGCAAAAAGAAATCATTATTGTTTCAAAAATCCAGTTTTTTTGTTCCTCAAAACCCATGGATTGTTAAATCAAAAAGAAAATCTTTTCGAATTCAAAAGAGCTTTCATGGTTTTGACGTAAGCTGTCAAATTTGGCAGCTGGGTCAACAACAAAATTATGTTTGTTTTTAAAATAGATTTCTTCAGGGGGAACGACACTCAATTGGATGTATTTTTTCAGTCTAGTAATTACTTGGGATTTCCGGGGAAAAACATAATTGATGGGATGTTTTTGAGTGTGTCATGTTGACGAAAATAGAGCAGGGATAGAAAAAAATAGATGGGAATAGATCTGGGAATGGATGTGATGTGAGGGGTGTTAAAATGTTTCAGAGGGATACGAGTCTGAACGCGAAGAGGATAGGTGTAAAAAGAAGATAAAACTTAGCTGGAAGGCAGCGTCCATAAATTACGTAACGCTTATAGGGGTAGAGGGGGTCACCTATATCGTTACGAATAATTACATAGGGGAGGAGGAGTAATTATTGTAAAGTTTGAAAATACAGGTAAAAAAATTTCATCACTAAATCTTGCTTGCAAGATGCATATGTTTTTATTTTTATATCTTGAGATTTTTGCTATTCTTAAACTACGCTGATATTTTGTTTTTATTTTGAAAATTAATAATACAATTACCTAGAAATAAAAAAAGGCATAACGAAATCAAAAAAATAAATGGTGGCTTTTAGAGCGTCACGGAATAAATAGAGGGGGATCATTTTCAGTGTTACATTTTGATCCAAGAGGGGGGGTCGAACATATTTATTTTTATCGTTACGCAATCAATGGTCACCGCCCAACAATATTAACCAAAGCTCACAGCTCAAGTGCAGAAAACGTTTCCGTACCGAATAGGTCGAAACCGTACTGTAGGAGGAACGGGTGGCGGCGATGGATCACTAGGATCCGGTTAATACTCCCAGCTGACGGATTTTAATTCGCAATATTCTCGAACAGAAACTCCATTAGCCGGTGAGTGTTTTCCTTCGCCATTAGCTCTTTCTTCTCCGAACCAACAGCAGCGGGCCGAGTGGAAAAAATGACCTGAGTTCCTTTTCCACCTGTTTGTCGCAGGGGGTTTTATTGGTGATGCTTTTCCCGGGCCTAGAATCAACTGTTCGAACGAAATCAACAGTTGTTTTGTGCCTGTTCGGCAACTTCCATGCTACAACAAAGAGACACCTGGGCTCTTATCCATCGAATTCGATCGGTTTGAGTCCGAGAAATGGATGTGCATTGCCGTCTTTTCCGTGATGCACTTGATGTGTTTACCCCCGCGACCGATTATGGCCAACTGACATACGTGGTGTTTGTTGTGGAGATTGTTGAAAACTGACAGTAACTGGCAGAGTGCTTCGCGGTCTTCCTGAAAACTCGCGTCACTTTTCAAATCGACCAATGTAACAAATGTAAACAAACCGAGTTAAGCGATACAAACTGTTGCTCTTCTATCATTGTATGTCATACAAAAACATCCATCCAAATTCACTTTCATTTATTTAAGATAATCATAGGTAAAAAATTGTCCAATGTACAGTTTGAAATGATGGGTATATGATTGTTACTTCGGTCATTCGGACTGCCTAACATGATTGGTGCTCATTTTCCAAAGGCGGGGGCAATCTAAAGTTAGGTACTATACTCTGAAATCTGTGAAAGGGAATCTAGTATCATGTAGACAAAACGTCCAATGTAACACTCATTGATTATGTCATTGAGAAAAATCGTCCAATGTAACATGTCCGATGTACAACTCTACTTGTCAAAACGTCCTATGTGGTTTTTTCTATGTTGTAGCATGAAATTCAAAGTAAAATTGTGATTTTACCGTTTCTTCTGAATTTTCAACTTTATTATACACTGGCTACACTAAAAATAGTATTGCAAAATGTATTGTTTTTAAACAGTTAAAATAATAATCTGTCGAACTTCAACTTCGATTTTCTCAAAATGGTGGATATGTTACATTGGTCTATTTGAAAAGTGACGCGAGAAAACTTCGAAAAACTGCACGGCTTGCTTGACAATTTGTGTGCATGCAGAAGGGATAAGTTGGGATTAGAAAGAATAGATAGGATGGATTGAAATTTTGTGCACGTTGAAAATGTTATGAGAGGTTTGGGTAAAAATGGGATAATCCTGAAGTGTCGTTCCCCCTGGATTTCTTGTTGATTCAATCATATTCATTTTATGAAGTCTGACAATTCAGTAGAAATAAAAATATTTTTATTGATTCAAAAATAATATGGCGATTTTTTTTTATGTTTTGTTTTCTTTTTGCAACAAACAGAATTGCAATTGAATTTCTGAGGCAGCATACTGCAGCATACTTACTTACCTTAAGTCTCAAGATTTTCGGAAATCTTGCACTTATTTCCCGAAATTCACAATTAAAAACAATACTTACGTGGAAAGTGGAAAAGAGCGGGAATGGTTAGTAGTTATTTTTGCATTCATGGCCCGGGGAATGGACACAGCAAATAAATGATAAATTAAAATTAACTATTGTTGACTTAATCATAGAATATTGTTATTTTTACAGTAGTTGCAGTTGAAAAATGGCTTATTAAAACAAAAAGTAGAAGGGTCTGTGCCTAGGGGCACGAACGGAAGCTTGACGTAGGACCGCTAGTGGACGGAACAAATGTGAACATTTAGTTTTTTTAATTGATCAATCATCATCAATCACCGTTTTTTATTTGTAAGCGTATCAAATTTGTAGTATTTATTTCAAAGAGAAAGTTGATGAAGAGAATCCAAAAAACTGTCAAATTGAGTATTTTCGATTCATCTACCCGACTTTAAAAGGTGTATTTTTTTTTTTATTTATGAGTTTTTCAGTTTTGTGCATTTTGAATTAAAGTGTATTCAATTCACCCCTTACAGGATTTCCTTCCGAAATATATGAATAGGGCGCCCCGCCCCGGAAAGTATCGTTTGTGCAGAATATGTAAAAAAGGAGGGACTTCGAGAGATTGAACTCGTGAGTGCTAATTTTCTCACAAATTTGATTTAATTGGCTTTCTGGGGACTGAATATACACCCAAAGCGAATAATTCCCACTTCTCTCAAATTCTATATGGATTTTTAACACTTCCTACCAGCGTGCTCTGGAAAATGGTCGGACGATGATTAATCTCACCAATACATTCGGGCCTATAATTCCACACCTTCTATAGATACCAGGTTGAGCCTTGATAGCTAGCTGCTTGCGGGAACTGATGACCTTGACAAATGTCCAAAAAATATTCTTAACAAATTTATGGTGGTCCTGAAAAGGACCGTTTTGTAGTGATGGTTGAGTATTGCTGAGCTGAGCACGACGAGCTACTGATTCCGATCCTAGCCTAGGTGTGGGACTTCTTCCTCCTTCTCTATGATTGGAGCTCTGCAGCTCGCTGCTTGCAGGCAACCTTTCGTTGTTGTTGTTGTTGAAAGCACTCCTGCTGCTGCTGCTGCTGGACTGGACACCACCACTTACGGTGATTGAATGAGCACCGTTCAGTGGGACCGCATCGAATTCGATTTTTAAGTCTGCACTGTTTTCAGTCATTCGGTGATAATTTTGATCACCATTGCAACAGTTGGACATTTGGTATTTTTCAATAGTGACCTATTGAAAATTAACTAAGTGTTCATTTTAGCAGATTGGTAGATAAATTTCCAATCGTTTGGCTTGTTTAGAATTAAAATCTATCTACTATTGGTCGAAACCTGACCTCTTTTCGCTTTTTTTTTTAATTTCGTGAACAAAAAGTGAGAGTAGGATGCAAAACTCAAAATTACCCAAAATTAAGTAAAAAGAACTGTAATTTAGGGTACTTTTTTTCTCTGTGTAGGTTAAATCTAACAACCTTAAACTGAAAAAATCATCATTCGATCACATCCCTACCACCTTTCAAATCCCGACAAGAAAGTTAATCAAAAACACCTTTATAATTCATTTGGTTGCCCTGAAAAGGGCCGTTTTTTTGTCTGAGCCGATGATGCTAATTTATCCTCCGAAACCGTACAGAGTGCGTCCCTGTCGCTTCAGAGCGTAAACGACATCCATTGCGGTGACGGTCTTCCTCTTAGCGTGTTCTGTGTAAGTAACAGCGTCTCGAATAACGTTCTCCAAAAACACCTTCAACACGCCTCTGGTTTCCTCGTAGATAAGCCCGGAAATTCGCTTGACTCCACCACGACGAGCCAGACGGCGGATTGCAGGTTTAGTGATGCCTTGAATGTTATCACGCAGCACTTTTCGATGACGCTTGGCTCCTCCTTTGCCGAGTCCTTTTCCTCCCTTGCCGCGTCCAGTCATTGTATATGATGGTGATGGTAGATGTGTCGTCGGTGAAGGTTGAAACGAAAGTGAACCAAAATTTCAAATTTCGGCTTTTTTAAACCTACTCGAGGGTTAAATTCTTATTGTTAGTTGTTGTGTTCTTGTTCTTTCATCGTTTCTGATTGGTTGAAAACAGCAAACGCATGTTATAAAACAGAATGGAAGTCGTTTTTATTTTTTATTCTACAGTTTGCTTTCATCGACTTCACATCGTACACATGGAAAATGGTTCGCACACAGCAGACCGCCGCAAGTCCACTGGAGGAAAGGCTCTTCGCAAGCAGTAGGCAACGAAGGCGCTCCAGTCTCATAGGCAACGAAAGCGCTCCAGCCACCGGAGGAGTAAAAAGAAGCCTCATCGCTACCGGCCAGGCATCGCGCCCTGCGTGAGATCCGTCGTTATCAGAAATCGACCGAACTGCTGATCCGCAAGTTGCCTTTCTAGCGTCTGGTGCGTGAAATTGCCCATGACTTCAAGACCGATCTGCGCTTCCAGAGCTAAGCTGTTATGGCTCTACAAGAAGCTAGCGAGGCTTATCTGGTCGGTCTGTTCGAAGATACCAACCTGTGTGTCATCCACGCCAAGCGTGTCACAAACATCGTATCCGTGGTGAACGCGCTTAATTCCCCCGTCGAAAATCTACAAAACCGGCCCTTTTCAGGGCCACTACAAAGATTCCATAAGAGAGTTATTTGAGTACTTTTAAAATTCAGATTTAGATCGGCTAAGTTTGTTCTGTGGATTCTATGCAATCAGTAACGGAGCAAAACTATTCTGTGTACGAGTTAAAAAACATGCTCTCAAAAATGTACGTTCATGCGTTCGCTTTCTGACGCGGGGTTGATTTCGAGATTTTGAAAACAAACATACAGGCTGGTCGGGCTAGCAAATCATCGCGGACTGGCACTGCTCACCATACACGGTACGGTACATGGGTCGAGCCAGAGACGGATGTTTAATAAGAGACGCGAAGACTGAAGCCAACATTTTAAATGTTCCAATCGAACCGTCTTGCCGTTGCCGGATGCCGTCACTGAACACGCCAAGCGCAGACAGTCATGGCCATGGATTATCACCAACAACCAAGTAACAAAACGGCCCTTTTCGGGGCCACCAAGTGCATTTAAGAAAAGAGTTAGAGTAGAATTTTTAAAGAGCTACAAAAATAGTTTTCACCATTAAGTCAAGGCTATTTTTTCTCATTGATCGTTCAGTTTTTCCTAAAAAATTTTGTTAAATAGTATTTTCTTGCAGAATATGTTAAAAGGGAGGGAATTTTTATGTATTTTTTATGCAGAATATGCAAATTTTTAATCCCTATGTGATATATTTTTTGAGTGTATCCCCTGTTTCCAAGTTTGGTTACAAGATTACAACTCTGGAGAGCATTTTGTGTGGTCGTTGGGAGCGTGTGGTTCTGAGTATGGCGATGAGTGTGCAAAATATTACGCAATTCCATCCTTCCTATTCGCACGCGCCCGAGGATCGGAGGCGAATGTCACTTCGACTTGTTTCGTCTACTTACTACTCTCTGACGACTGTGCTGGGGAAGCAGCATATGCATGTAGGTAATTGGTGGATTTGTTAGTTAATTCGACGCTTTTGGACAATGCTGAACATTTACCAGTTTTTCAATAGTTTCTTATTGAAAATCAACATTCGGAAGCATTATTATCGATGCGTAGCCATATTTCTGATCGATTGGTGATAAAACTATTGAAATTGGACTAGGGGCAGTTGAATTATTAACGTTCAAAATCTTTCTTAATTTGTTACATGTTCCATTTTCAGTTTTCACAAAGTGTACCCCCATATAGAAATCAAAGACGTAGTCCTACGTCAAAAGAATCCTATTTTGAATTTATATGAATAAGTATTATTGAAACAACAAAATGCAATATAATTTCAACCGGAATTGTTTGTTTAAATAAATACAACTAGTTTTTTTTTGGTTCAATGCAAACAATTTTCTTTCCGTGTATGTGAACAAAAATAAAATTGATTTCACTGTAACTTGCAAGTACCCATTAATGGGTATAAAAGTACCCATTATTAGTAAGTATATGAAGCTGTCAAATAATGAGTAATTGAATATTTTTCAAAATGGGTTCTTTTGTACTCATTTTTTTGACCTCTTCGGGGAAGAAAAATGAGTATTATTTTACCCATTATTGGGTGAAAATTATCTTTATCAATAGTGAATACGAGGCCTTAAAAATGGATTTTTTATGCCATCTATGCCTAATAAAATGAGTATTGAAATGTAAGTATTTATTTGAAATATATCTAGGTGGTGTACATTATGAAATTCAGATGAAATTTAATGATTTTCATTTGCTTAATTTCAGATCCACAAGGAAGTGGCCGTAAACAAAGTGTTCCAGGAAGGGATGACAAGAAGATACTTCCGAAGCAAAAGAAACACAATGCACAGCAGGGACAGTGTATGCCAAGTAGGTAAGCGGTATGATCCTTCTAGGAGCACAAGAAGACTCTGCGGATGTAAGTGGCTGATGGTTGAACCTCCCGGGAAGCGGCAATAATTATGTATTGTTACCTCTTTATTTATTTGTCAGCACTCGATATGGTCCCATTATTATCGAAATAAATAAAAAACAAGTTATTAATGGTAATTTTTCCACCATTTCAATGAAATATGCGAAAAATGAAATTAATATTGATCTCTAAATAGCTCAATTATTGAAAATGTATACTTTTTACCCATTTTCTAAATCTTTTCATTTCTGAAAATGGGTGAAAAGTACCCGATGATTTGACGTACAATCTCTTTACCCATTATTGGGTAAAGACGTTTTACCTATTTTATGAGTTTACATACTTTAATTCGCAAAGGGTACTTTTTCACCCATTAATGGGCCGTATGAATAAAAAGAGTTTACTTTACTTTCCCGTGCTTTTCTTACGGGGAAAGTAAAGTAAACGCTTTTATTCATACGACCTAATGGGCTTGCTTGCCAGTTACAGTGATTAATCATTAAATTTTGTCGAACCTCTTAACGGAATCGCTTTAAGAAGAGCTTTTGAGTGTGTTGATTATTTCCTTTTAGTTCCGTTATAATTACGTATCTTTTGACTGATACGCGTTTGTCGTCTACTACTTGCAGACTTCATCAGTGCCAAGCAGGCTTGCTGAAACTCCTCAAACTCACTGGAGGTTTTAAAACACTCTTGTCCTGCGAGTTTAGCCAGCCCTCACCTCGAGCGAATAAGCTATTTTACGTGACGTCTTGATGACAGTTCCTGGTGGGCCACACGAACGCGCTCGAGGCATTGTTATTGTTTACGTCTGATGTTTTTGTTTTGATTTTGGTCGTGGTATGTCAACAAATCGGCCCGCTGGTAAACGTCAAAATAGGTAAACAGAAAAAAAAAACAGCTGACTCGAAACGTCTCGTAAAATGCCTTATGGCGGCTGGAATATTGAAGAACACGGTTACCGCAAAATACCCAATAATGACTACAAAGTAAGCATTTTCGAGGGAAACTGAGACTACCCATTAAATGAGTAAAATTTTACCCATTTATGAGTAATTACAACTAAAAAAACAAGTAGTAAGTATTCATTTTTGAATAACAAATACTCATAAATGGGTAATATTTTTACTCATTTAAGGCCTGTATAGAGATCGAAGCGAAGCGAAAATCTCATACAAAATACTACATTTTTCACCTGCGTGAAAAACGCAATTGGCAAATATTTCGCTTCGCTTTGAACTGTAAACAGATGTGATCCAGCGAAATCTAATTTTGTGGATCGCATCTTTTTCGCTTACGTTTATTTTTTTTTCGCGCATGCAGCGCTCGCGAAAAGAGCAGCAGCTAAGCGAAAAGTTGACGTTTCGGGAGAGCGCTAGGGAGAGCGTATCTGTCAGATTTTCACTTCACCGGAGGTGTAAACTGATCGATTTCGTTTCACATGAACTGTAAACTGCGAAAAAAGGAAACTGGAAAATGTTCCACAAACATTTTTTCACAACCTTTTTCGCTAGCGAAATTTCATGATTTTTCGCGTGCTTCAATTTTCGTTTCGCTTCGATCTGTATACTAGGCTTTAATGAGTAGTTCCAGTCTCCCTCGAAAATGCTTACTTTGTAGTATGAATAAAAAGAGTTTACTTTACTTTCCCGTGCTTTTCTTACGGGAAAAGTAAAGTAAACGCTTTTATTCATACGACCTATTATTGGGTATTTTGCGGTTACCGCGTGAAGTAAACAAAAACTCCTCGAGAGAGAGGGAGAGTGAACTTCAGCGAGAGGATGATTTGACGTGAGGTGCGCTTTTCGAGTCTCCGATTGACTTTTTTGTTCGACGCAAGACGCTCAGAGTTCACCTAAAGTGAAAGTAAGAGCGTGTGATAGAAAACAGAAACGTGAATGGCAGAAAATCTCACTCTCATTTTATCCTCCTTCGCTCACAAGCTCTGAAGCTTAGTGGAATGATTTGGCAGTAGGCATTGACTTCTTGCCGCAAGATTTCACTAATACAACGTTGCTAGTGTAGCCGTGTAAAATCGATTTGTTTATTATTTTCCACCACGAAATCAGCTGTCAAAATGTACGACTTGACAGCGGTTTGTTTTTTATTTTCAACCAGTAAAACGCTTGGATTAGTGAAACTGCTCACTAATACTAACGGTGGTAGAGAACTCTATTCTACTCCTCAGAAAAATGCTGCCGAGCGCTCATTTCAAACTCGTGAGCGAGGCTCCATCAAGCCTGATGCCAAGTATTGGTGTTGAGTACTTGGCACTGATGAAGTCTGCAAGTATTAGACGAAATACGCGTATCTGTCAAGCGATAACCAATTATAACGGAATTAAAAGAAAGTAATAAACACACTCAAAAGCTCTTCACAAAAATAAATGTTTATTTTACACATGCTTTTCATGTTAAAAATAAACAAACATATTATAAAATTATTTTAGCATTTGAATGCGTTTATCCCACAACAAAATAAAATGGATAACAATAAATGGGAATCTATAGACAGGGCACCTATATCCTTGATGTAGGTCTACGTC